GCGCACTTAACCGCTAAGCCGTGGGGCCAGCCCAAGAGTCAAAATCTTTAGAGTTCAAAAATAAGCAGTTGAATCAGATTCTTCTTTGGAACAGGAGTCATATTTCTCCTCTGAATACTTTTTTTACCCTTGCCAAAAAGTAATGTCAGTTTAAAATTAGTGAAATAATTTAGTTTTGTTGAAAATGAAATACTTAAAACAAACAAACAAAACACAACCTCACTGGGAAATAATGAAATAGCTGAAACAAGAAACTCTTTATATATGCAAGAATAAATGGTATGTAGAAGTGTGAATGACAGCCCTTCAGGCCCCTGTTCTTTCTAACGTCTTCCAGATGATCATCACTTAGTCTTCCTCAAGCAAACCTTTAATATATCTGCTGTCTTGCACCATCAGTTTTCCAGTTTTTCCTAAAATTGCAACTCTTCATTTTCATAGGATAAGTGCATTTAATTCACAGAAATTCAGACTGACCGTGAAACCTCTTCAAGGCTTTATCTTTCTGATCCTGTTCTTGCAACTTGTCTAACAACTTTGATGCATGAGGATAGAAAGTATTTTTGCCTGCTGATAAGACTGCCTTTGATTTCATAGATTATGTGGTAGCCTGTTTACAGAATAAACAAAGATAATCCAGAGCACCTATGTTCAGGAAAATTCTCTCTGCTGATGGGAGGGAAAGAAAACAAATAACTAAGAAGAAGTCCACAGACTTTAAAATGAGTGGATACAAGGTCCCTCTGTAAGGAGCATCCATTACTTAAATGACTCATACCCACCATGTTTTAGTTCTCAAATGTTTTCAGGATTTAAAGAATCCGGAATGGTCACAATGAATCTTAGGTCTGGGTTTCATTAATCAAACCTGTAATCAAATATCCACTTGACTTTATTTGGGCTTTAATGGTTGAGTGGTGTTTATAACCAGGTTTACTAAGCATGGAGGCCTACGGGGGGTGGGAGGGGTGGACAGGGGAAGCTTTCTTCACAAACTCTAGATTTGAGTCAAACAAAAAAGACTCAGGAGGCCAGTTTTATAAAGATCAACATTATCTTTTTCTGTTGGTAGCACCGAGCTAATGGCATTTCAGTTTTGAATCCCAGAAGTTATTCCCTGGGGTTTCTGTGGGATTCATTTGTGCCCTAGGACCTCCAAAGATTGCCCAGTGGTGGGACCTTAGCTACTGAGACACAGACAGTACTGACATGAAGTAATAGTTCTAGCTAGATGAACTGGGGGCTCGCTCTGGGTGAGGCACCATGCCTGGCACCTCCAGAATTATTTCATCTTGGTCCTCGGAACAACCCTATGGTACAGATATTACCATCTACCTTCATTTTATAGATGAGGAAATGGGGGCTTAGAGAAGTCAAAAATCTTGTCCAAGGCCACATGACTAAAACATGGTGGCTTTGACATTCAAAAACAATATCTTCTGCGTTCCTTTCCAAAATAAATGCGAATGATGGTAAGAAATAGGAGCAGCTTATATCCTAACTATGATCCCTCAGACGAGTGGCAGAACACTGGTGTCATACACCCTCGGTCCAGAAGCCGTGGTTGTTCTCACCCCCCAGGGCCCTCACAGGGCTCAGCTCTGCAGGAATGTGTCAGTCTTATCTGCCAGGCAACTTGTACCCTGCTCTGAAGGGGGAGGGAACACAAGGCTGGGCTGTCAAAGGTTCAAGAGCTTCGCTGCTGGGAGCTGCAAGCACGCTGATAAAAGCAGAGCAGGCGGGCCTCTGGGCCTCGTATTCAAAATGAAAACAGGGACACGGACAAAAGAAGCGTGAGAAGAGAAAGAGGAGTCATTTTCCAAGTAAGACCTGACAAATAAAAATTGTTTCAATTCTCAAAGACATTTTCTTGGAATTAGTGCAGTTGCTTTAAAAAATTACTTGCTTCCCTTTTAATAGAACAGAAATAGTAACAAAGTTAAAATCTACTATACGGCAGGCTGCTTTACATAGCTTAGGCATTTCAACGGCTGGTTTACAACCAAGTGCAGACCAATAGTATGGCTATCTATTTATCATTCTATGATTATCACCTTATTTACATAACCCTTTGGTATGTTTATAAGGAGTCCGTTGTAACTCCAAAGGAAAACAGCAACATGGAATATTTTTCAGAAGCTATAGAGAGACATAAAACATTTCAGAAGAGGTCTTCTAACAGTTGGTCACAGTTTACATTTTCATCTGTATATGCTTCAAGACAAGCAAATCACTCCTGCAGCATTAACATTGAATGCGACTCTCTCATAATCTTGGTCTTATCAGTGTTGGGTTACACAGCAAAACTAGCAAGAATGGGACAAAAGCCAATCTCTCCAAGGAAACAAACAGATCCTTACAAGTGTGAGTGTAAGAATGCCGGTTGGGGGCCAGCCCTGGTAGCCTAGTGGTTAAATTCAGCGTGCTGCACTTAGGCAGCCCAGGTTCAGTTCCTGGGCGTGGACTGCTCTGGGGGTATACTGCTCTGCTAGCAGCCACGCTGTGCTGGCGGCCCACGTGCTAAAAAATAGAGGAAGACTGGCACGGACGTTAGCTTAGAGAGAATCTTCCTCAGCAAAAAAAAAAAAAAAAGAAAAGAAAGAAAGAAAAGAATGTCGGTTGGCAATCTAAACCCAAAAAACCTGGTAGTTCCATAATTGTAACTTTTGGTCATTACCAAATTTTATATGTCAGGTAGTATCAACATCATTCTCAAGAAAACATTAAGTCTACAAGTCTTCTGCCCTAAGTGGACTATGTTAATAGATCAGCTCCTACCAGATTTTTGACCTGCTGCAAATGTCATAGGTATACGAATGTTTATAATAAATCTTTAAGCAGACACTAGTGTGTACATGGGAGCACTTGTAACATCTGTGTGTATGGTGGGGGCGGGGACAGGGAAGAGAAACCATGTAAGAATTAAAGTAAATTTTAAAAAGTTTTATTTAAAATAAAAATGTTAAATGAAATATTTAATAATGTTATTAAAGTAAAACTTTTCAACTGAGTTTCTATAACTATATTACCATATATATTTAAAATCAACTGCTCAGAACATTTCCACAAGGCGAAAGATGGAAGTCTACAAAGTCTGTCAGTCTGGAGAGAACCGGACAAAGCAAAGGGCAGAATTTCAAACCACACGAGATTTCCATGATTTGCTGGCTCTTGAACTCCATGGGCCAAGAAGGCATGTGGAGTAGGCTAGTCTAGCCAATGAGAGGAATATCACATGAGCGGTAAAATCAGTATCCCCTACTCTGCTGACAGCTCAGAACCTGTAGCTTATTTCAAAGGAAGGTGCTGGCAATCCACGGTAGGTGGCCTCCATCTTTTTCTTCGGAACATTTGTTTAGGCCTCTCAAAAGGGGAACCATCTTCCATGAGAAATCTATTTATGTGACTCTGTGGACAGGAGCCTTTGGGTTTTCCATTACAAACAAGTTGATGACTATGAATTCTGAAGAATTTTTTTAAAAATAAAACCCAACCTAAAGCCTATCTCCACATCCTCAAATCTGGGCGTCAGATTTGGGCCTGATAATCTTTAAGCACTCTGACATCCATCACTATATTTCCTTCTCACACTTAACCTGTGAGATATTATTCTATGCATAAGAGAAAATGGAAGCCCAATCAGAATGCACTTGCAGAATCCAAATTCAGAGCAAGGCCTAATTGTTTTTAGGCCTTTCTTTTCATAAAAGATCTAGGGGCACAGATTTATTCCTTTCAAAGGGAGGTAGCTTCTTGAACAGTGGTGAGAGCTAGAGTAAATCACAAAATACAGAGGATGCCCTTCTCTTTAGAGCACGGAAACTAATTTCAAAGTGATGTTCCAAAATAAAAGTATTCAAGAACCTAATCATGACCCTTTGCCCCACAATGCCGCAATGATATTTTTATGACCCAGGAATTCCTAAGCTGTTGCTGCTGTTCAGAAGGCCCACTCACTAAGTGGCTTAAAATATGTGAAATGGATGATCTGACACAATGCGTAAATATTTCCTAGGATACATCTTATGAGTGACCTCATTTTTATGCGTTATCCCCACAGCTAAACATTAAAACATTTAAAAAATGTCTGGAGTAGTTTATATTCCAGATGCTGCCTTCTTCCCTCCTGAACTGCATTAGCGACATTTTTTCATTCCAGATGACATAGCTATGATATGACACACCACAGCGCAGGATTCGGAATTTAGATTTCTTTCAGAAAATGTGAACATACCCCAGACATTTTTAAGCAGTCATTTCACTGGATTTGAAAAGTGACGATGTTTCTGTGGTTATATGGCATTTCTTTTTTTTCTTAAATCACGAGAACTAGTCTAGTCCACACACCATTCTAAACATCCTAGCTATCTTTCCCCTAAAACCACTCCTTAAGTTAGCTGCTTCAAAAAACATTGTATTACATAAGAAAAGCCAAAAAATAGTACTTTCACAGAACTATCATTACTTTCTTTGCCTACAAAGGGGAAATAAATACCACGTGTCCTTCCACCTTAATGATGTTTTTCCAAATTAAAATGAATACTGAAAGTAAAAAAAATTTATTTTAATTTTACAAGCAAATCAACATGTGAATTTTGTCTAATTATTTTTTCCAGAATTCAGCTTTTAGGGCTTAGAGGTTTTGAGAAAAATTACAAAGGATGAATAATTTAAGATGAATAAAATGTCATGAAGAGTCTGAAAGGATTATCACTGCCCCATCTTTGTCTGCTACATGTTTTATTACTTCCACTTTCCTAACACCTACCAGCTGCTCCTTAGCCTGGAGATCCACCAGCACCATGAGCAAGGATTTCTGACAGTTTTACTCACATTTCACATCAATGCTCGTTTACTGCCTGTCTCCTGTATGTTAAAAGCTGTGCTGAGTTATTTTATAGACTTATTTAATCCTACAGTTACTATTTTGTACCTGGGGAAGCCAAAGAGGTTCAGAGAAGCTGTTCTGGAATTCAAACAATGGTCCTGCTGACTCTAGTATGCCATACCCCCACCCCCATTTATTCCTCTGAATGTGTTATTTCCAGTCAATATAACAGCAGCTTTGATTCTGCTAGGGTACCTGGTTGGGACCATGCAGTCAATTACACTGTGTTTTAAAAAACCTGTTCCCAGTTTCCAGACCACCTGAACGTGAATGTTTCCACAATCATATGGTATCAAATATGGAACAGTACTATCTGAGTACCTCCTGGGCAGTGCTATTTTAATGGCAATACTAAATAACAGGATTTTGCTTATTGTAATTAAAAGGCCTATGATTTATGATGAAGTAAGTCACTATGCCCATTTACGTATCAAAAACCTGACATAATTAGTTAGAACAAAAGCAAACAAAACCATTTCAGTATAGTACCTATGTTTTGTTTTGTTTTTGCTGAGGAAGATTAGCCCTGAGCTAACATCTGTGCCAGTCTTCCTCTACTTTCTATGTGGGTTGCCCCCATAGCGTGGCTGACGAGTAGTGTAGGTCCGCGCCGGGGATCTGAACCCGTGAACTCAGGCTGCTGAAGTGGAACGCGCTGAACTTAACCACTAGGCCACAGACCGGCCATAAGCACTATGTTCCTAAAAAAGAAAAAGAAAACACTCAAAACATTTCCATTTACCTGCATAAAGCCTCAATGGCATCTCTGTCTAAAAAATCATGCTCCTTCTTGACCAAGGAAATATCAATGGGGAACAGGAGATCTAGAAAAAAAATAAAAACAAGAATATTTATTGAGCACCTAAGTTCTTGCCAATCTACCCCAGTTTAGAAGAGGAAAAAACCCAAACAAACAAAGTAATTTATTGAATACTTACTGTGTACAGGACACCCCACTCCCTATCAAGAACTCTGGGAGAATAAAGCAGTTTAAGACAATTCTATCCGTGTCCTAAAGGAGCTTAGATCTAAAGGGGTCTACAGACTCAAATATCTCTTCTTGTCAAAGATAAGTGGTTCAAAACACTGTTCCACCTTTAAACAAATCAGCAGGCAGTAGACTCCTGCTATAAATTACCATCATTTAAGCCAGAATGAATACCAGAAGGCTGCTCTCTTTTAATATGGCTGGTTTTTTTTCCCCCCATGTGTGTCTTTGCTCACATTCGCTCAGGGAAGAGGTCATAGAAAACTGGGCCAAGGAAAGACATGGAGGACAATGGCAAGTGGTAGTCAACGGAATCTAACCATTTGCATGACATCAAAAGCTACAGAGAATTCAGGATGTGCTATTTTTAAACAAATATTAGCACTTCCATATGGCTTTTCAGGAGTTTATATAACTCCCCCTAAAACAAAAGGCCAGCTGTAAGGCCACTGTAGAACAATAGAATCCCAAATCCCCTAATCTGTAGGAGAGTTCAATACACTTAGCATACTTAAGAGTTACATGAGAACTGAAGAGCAGAATGGAAAGAAGTCAACTCAATGGAAGAATTCCTTTTCTATCCCTTGTTGATAAACACATCCAAGAAGAGCTGGGAGCAAGAAGACCAGCAGCACCACTGTGGAAATTTACAACAGCTCTGGAATCGCCACCAGATAAAAGCAAGTTATGCCTCCTTGGAGTTCCAGCTATGAGGGTAGATAATGGGCCTTCCCAAGAGAATGCTTGTATAATGCCATGAGTAAGAGTCTTTCTGTGCAAGTCTGTGGGTCAGGAATGAGCAAAATAAGTCAGCACAGCAGGAAACCAGGATTACCATAACCTACCAGATCCCTCTGGCCTCCAAAATGGCTAATACTACATATACTGGAATAGACGTGGCTCTCAGTACTTTCGGAGATGTGAGTAATTAGTCATATTCCAGTTCTTGAGTTGACTAGGGAGTGCGTGACTGTTATGTTTTTATGGTTTCTAACTCATCACTGGTTTTACAGAATGGTATGGAACTCCTCATTCTTAGTAATCTATTTTCTAGAGATAACACTTAAAAGTACTTTTTTTTTTTTTTACAATGAGCGGTAAGAGTCTATTCTTTTTTCTGAAGGCTGGAGTTAGATTACTGATATGTTCTCTGAATGATAACATAGCAAGAACAATGGAGCAGGTATAGCCCAAAGATTTATGAGGAAATACATGAAAGTTAGTATCGCAGGATTATATCTCTTCATTAATATACAGACCAAGTCTTTTAGGCAAATGATGAATAGCACCATTATAGTGGGAACAAAAGAAGAGGCTTACGTGAATGTAAACTATTAGTAAATATAAGCAAGGCAGACTATAAAGCTGTTTGCAGGCTGTGGCATTGTATTTCACTTTGAATAGACTTGAAGAACACTAATTATTAAATAATAGAGCTGATATTAAAGAATATATTTTTAATACTTCCAGAGTATAACATCAGATCTATGAATGTAAATTAAAATACTCACATGCCCGTTAAATGTATATGAGACAGCACCATGTTATTTCAGCAATTCCTAATTTAGTGTACCCAGAGCTGTATTTTAGATTACTTTCCTGATCCAAATTAACTGTAAAATTCTGTTAAAATTCTAGGGTAGGTAGGAACTAACTGCAGAAGAGTGAAAAAATTCAATCAATCATTTTCTTTTACTTGCCTAGACTCTTTTCTGAAAGGACTGGCTTTGAAAAGATGATAGTTTATTGATATAGAGAAGAAGTTCTCAACTCTTCAGGTTAGGATTTCAACTTCCAGCTTCAGTTTGAGGGCAGGAAGTGAAAATTGCCAAGGACCAAAATAAAGCTCGACAGGAAGACAAGGAATGTGTGGGCTGGTGTGTGTGGTGTGTGTATGGCTCAGCCTACACACAGTGTCAGGATGAAGGTGGGAAATTATAGCCCAGAACAACATACAGCATCCCTCAAAAGCAGGCTTACGTTTCAAAAGACTTGTAACTGTGTAGACACCCAGAAACACAACTTGTGAAAATGCAGTTTGTACCTTCGGATTTGGAAAGAAGTAAGACAAGAGACTGGAACTGTCTTAGCAAACATACACATCACAAGAAAGTGCTTCTTGGCAGCAAATCAACACCAAAAATGGACATAATTGAAGGAAATTTAATTTCTAAACAGAGGAACAAAAGGAAGCTATGTTACTGCCACTGCAAATGCAATTATCTCTCCCTGTCTCCAGGAGAGCTGTGAATTGAAAACCCAATAGAATGCTGGTCCCACCCCACAAAGTCCTACTGCAAGACTGAGAGACTCTAAATGTTAATAGGTCAAAAATTCTCTCTAAAGGAAAGATAAGCAACTCCCCCGTAATAAGCATGCAGGTTAATCAGATACCTTAAAAAAAAGAAAGGAAAAGGAATTGGAGATATTCTCTGAAATGGAGGAACAGTAAGATATTTTATATAGTCTGACAATAAAATAATGCTGAATTTTCATGGGAAAATATCATACATTCAGTCTGGGCTACAATGAGGAAGACCAGGTATTGTAAATTAGGTAACAAATTAATTTTGCTAGGTAAGCCAGGGAAATAAAAATGATCTCTAGGGTCTTTGACCAATTTGGTGCTGAGGAGTACCCCCCACCCACTCCATATCCCTCTTCAAGGCAACCTGCTGATCATGTCTAGCACTTCCAAGCTTACAAACTATATCCATTCTTAGCATGGGGTCATGGAATTTTGCTCATGTGTTAAAGAAGGTTGCTAGTGACCCCCTAGCTCCAACTGAGAGCCCACTGCCACTGCTCTAGGAAGCAGTCTGCTTGCTATTATCCTAGAAGGATAGAAGAGCAAAAGACACATTTTAGAATCACTGTTTATTGTGAGAAGAGTTGAATATCCCTGGTGAAAAGATTTGAGTGACATCCTTTCAACTGGCTCTTTTAGAGATTTTGTCACATGGCGGCTGTCTCCTAGCATCTCTTTCCTTCTTAAGTGATGAAAAAGATGTATTTTTAAAATGTAAATCAACCAAAATTATCTTTGCTTTTTGAGATATTGGCAATCCTCTAAAAGTGTTCTTTGAGGTTTGAACTGTGTGTTATTTTTATAAAATATGTAGCATCTACCACAGTGCTGAGCATCCCTGTGGTGCAGAATTAATACTAGCTTGTCAATTAGTTGGATGGATGGATGGATGGATGGAAGGATGGATGGAGAGATGAATGGATAGATGAATGAATAAATGAATGAGAGACACCTAGTGTTGTCATCTCAGTAGAGTTAAGGAAACAAAGAATGCTCAAGTTGGAAGAAGCCCTGGAAGTCATTTAATTTATTCTCAATTTAGGAATCACTTCATATTCACCCAACCTTTGCTTGAAAATTACCCATAAAATGGACTTCGCTAGTTCACAACTGTAATTCTTTTTACATGGTTTCATATAGAGTACAATAAAACTCCCATTTAAATGAACACCTATTCATCTCACTGTGCACAGAGCACACTCTACCCACACCAGGCAGCCAGAGGACGAGAATGAGCGAGACTTGAGGTGCTCTTCATCCTCAGCCTCAGCTTCTGAGTGATCTCCAGGTTACTGATGACAAAATGAAGTAATGAAAATTCAGCCTAGATCTTGATCTTTTTTAAAAAGTTCCATTTTTCTTCATTAAAAAATTGAATGCCACAGAAAAAATAATATTCCTCAAATGACATCCTAAAGAAAAGTGAAAAGCCTAATTACAAACTAGGGGAAGATATCTTTAACACATGACCAACAAAGCCCTAGTATTTAGAATAAAGAGCTCTTACACATCATTAAGAAAAGCCCACTCAACTCAGGAGGAAAACGAGCAACAGACATTTCACAGAAGACCAAACACACATGGCCAGATGATATGAAGAAATGTGCATTATCATTAATGATTAGGGAAATGGAAGTCAAAATCTGTACGGTATCATTATATATCCATTTGAATGGCAAAAACTAAAGTCTGATAATAACAAGTGTTGAGAGTATACGGACAGAGAGGATCTTTATATATATTACTGGTAGGAGTGAACATCGGCATAGGCACTTTTGAAAAATTTGCATTATAAAATTGAACATACATGTTATTACCCAGTAATTCTACTCCTAGGTATATATGAAAGACAAATTATTGCACATGTGCCACAAGAGTACAAGAATGTACAAGACTGTTCACAAGGGTACAGTTTGTAAAAGCAAAACAGAAAAAGCTGAAATGCCCACCAGTGAGAGTGTGGGTATGAATAAACCATGGCACATCCACACAATGGGCTATCACACAGCAGTCAAAGCCAATGAACTATGGAGACACACAGTATAGAAGAATCTTACAATATAACAATAAGTGAAAAAATTAAATCCTACCAGATTACATAGAGCATAATACCCTTTTTATAAAGATAAAAATAACTTTATAAAAATATATATTTTAGGAAAATACCATAAAACAATATAAAAGGAAAATAAGAAAATGATAAACAGGTTTCAGGATGATGGTTACTTGGGTAGGAGGGAGCAGACGGACCGAATGGGAGAGCACTTGGGTGCATTATTATCAAGATCCTAGCTTTTGTTTTGAGTGGTGGGGGTCTCAGGTGCTTGTTATGTTGTTTTTTTTATGAAATACTTAAATAAATAATAAAATGTCTGCAAATAAATTGTAGATCAATAATATCATGAACCAAGGATATGATTATGCCAATTAAAAAGAAAAATGGCATTCCCGGCTCACCTTCATAAAGCTGTGCATATTGGGGGAAACCTGTTGCCCGTAGCCAATCACAAGCCTCTTTGGCTTCAATTTCTAGAAGAGAACAGAAGAAAGACAAAAATGTTAGTCATGTGCACCTCAGCATGCTGCTTCTTCCTTAATAAACTTTGATTTTGTTACATAAGCAAAACATGATGGGAGGTGGGAAACACGGATAAGCAAAAAAGAAAAAAAATCCATTTAATTCAAATAGTTTAAATTTTTGTGCATCTTTTCAGACTTTTAAAAATGCACATTATTTAATGCATTGCACATCCATATAATGGATATAAAAAATACCTATTTTTCCTTTAAAACAAATGGGGTCCCAGCAGTGAGTTACTGTGTACGGCTTCTGTATTCTGGTTGCAAATGATGATGAAAATAGAGCATAACAAGAAAGTTGAAGAGGGATTAAATAACTAATTAAGCCTGGCTGGCCTAACTTGGTCTACTTTTCATGTCAACACAAGGCCACCCAGTACATCTGACACCTGGAATAGAATTAACCTGACCAAAGGAACAGACCTTCTGACACCCAATGGGATGCCCGTACAAGCCCAGCTGCTGTGGCGATGGGCCTTTAGGAGCATCCTGCTGTAGAGGCCAGGCTGTCAGGTGACCCAGAGGGCATTAAGTCAATAAACCCCACAATCTTGGTAGGCTGAAATGCCTAATAAAGCTTCTACTTCTCCGTGGTTAACATCCTGTCGAGAGTATTGATAAACAGAGAGGCCAAGAGAAACTGACACGCCGTGTTCAAACTCACTCACGCACAGATTTACAATCCCGTTAAAACTGACTCTCAGAGGCCGGGGCACTTCATTAGTTTCTCTGTTTGCACAAAGAATATTCTTTTCTCTTCTTCCCACCTTCCTCAGGCCCTTAGAGTACTTAGGTATGTAAGGCTATTCGCTCATTTATAAATGTCTCAACATTGCTTAGTTTATTCCAGATTCAAATCTTCATTAAGCATCTCTCCTCTGGGCCAGATGGGAGGTGGATGGTCCATCTCAGGAGAAGTACACATGTCTTACTTTGGTCTAATAACTTTATGGCTTCCAAACATCCTCATCTATTATTTCATGAGTTCCTTGGCCTTTTAAGAAAGGTAACTGAGAACATTCAAATGCATTAAAGCAAGTAGAAATGTCCTTATTGAGTATGCCCAAGAGAAAAACAACCCATTATCTTCTGATGAGTTAGTTAATACCCAAACTAAACACAATTACGGCAGCAGAGTGGGAATAAGTGGCACGGCAAAGTTTACATCCATGAATCTTTCCAGTGTAGTGATGAAAGTAGCATTATTAAACACAAGATTCAGGACTGAATTGGGGGTGAAGGACAAAGTGACATAAATGTGTAAGAACCTCAAGGTTTGCACTGATAAAAAAATACAAAATTGTCCAATGTGAATTATCTGCACTTAACATTTTTTTCATGTATTTATGTCTATACCTTGCCTCAGAAAGGATTAAGGAAGCTTTAAATAAAATCGTAAAAAACACATTTTCTAGAAAACTATATTGCTGGAAAATTATATAAAAGCTCAACATTTTATTTTAAAGAACAAGGAAACTACTTTTCTCTGTCTCCGTGGACTCTGCTCACAGACAGACATGAAAAGAAAAAAAGCTAAGTTTTGTTTTTTTAAAAATATTTTAAATAACTTGCTTCTTCTGACTGTTTAGAGGTTATTTCCATTGAACAGATTGTTAGACGATGAACAATAGATTGTTAAAAAGTAAATGTGCTTGCTTACTTAACAAAGTGGTGAGTAACCAGAAATTCTCAATGTTCACTCTTTTTGGGCTATATTCAGACTCGACACCAGGTCAGCACACACACAAAAGCCTTAATCATACACAATTCACTCACCAATTTTGCCACCTATATAGAGCATGTTCCTCATTTTCTTATTAAAATGGCTTCATGCCAAGAGGCATGAAAGATGTAAGGTATTATTTTTCTAAAAATCTTTACATTTATTTATATAATATTTTACAAATTACAAAGTGTTTTCACACACATTACTCATTGAAGGTTCTGAGTGATTTCAGGAACACATACATACTTATTGCTTGTTGTCACTTTCTTATTCATTTTCCACCACTAAGAAAATGAAACCCCCCCAAATGACCAAAAATTGATCTAAGAGCTGCGTCCAAATAGTCACGCTCTTCAGGGCCACTTGGTTAGAAAAAAATAATGAGAACAGGTGAAGGTTTGCTTCATCAGCAGATAATCTCATTGAAAGCTTGCAATGGCGAAAAAGCGTGACTTTCAAGAACTGTAGAGATCCGGGCATTTACCCTTCCTTCTCCTTACCCTAAAATAGATGAGGATTTGTTCTTTTAGATAGGAAACCATGGGAAATAGACAAGCATATATCTATATTACATTTAAAAAGGTCCACTCATGAAAACTTAAACTGATTAACAAACGGGAGCTTAACCTGCTATTTCTGTAGAATCAGAACAGAAAACTGTAAAAAGTTGCCATTGATTTTTAATAACTGGAATAGTTGTTGACCTCACTCCCACCCCTTTCCAATTACCAACAGGTCAAGAGAAAATGCCAACAATCCAATATAAGTACTGATTTTAAGAAAAATCAGTATTTTCATTTTATTTAATCTGAAATGAACCTATGTTTATATCCAATACCCTTTCTAGATTCACCCTCTGATCCAAGCCATTACTTCCACTCTGATCTCCTAAGTAAAATTCCAGGTCTCCAATTCGCTCCTCCCTCAGAGAATCCATCCAGCAACCCTGGCTCAACAAACTTCCTAAGTTACAGTTTTGATCTTGTCTCTCCGTCACAAGCTTCACTGGAGCTCCACTATTTAGAAAAATCAAGTCTAAACACCTCCACGTGGTTTTCAAGGCTCTCCACGTGGCATCCAACCTAATTTTTCCTGTACTCCCTCGATGTTCCAGCCAAAGTAAACTTGGCACTCATCTCCCCACACATTGCCATGACTTCCCTGGCCTGAAATGCTCTCCCATCCTCTCAATGTCAAGTTTCGCTCATCCTTCAAGGCCTGGCTCTATGCTGCCTCCTCTGTGCGGTCTTCCAGATGCCTCCCAACAAATCTCTCAATGGCTAACTTTTATTGGGTGCTTAATATGTGCAAAGCCCGAAGTCTAAGCACTTAATGCATATGATTTCATTTACTCCTCATATTGATCCTAAAACGTGGATTACTAATATCATCCCCAAGATATACAGATGAAGAAATAAGCAGGGAAATAACCACTTTTCACTAAAAATGAGCGTTCTTCACATTCAAATGGCATAGTGGGAGAGGGAACTAAGACTTACAGAAATGAGCAAGACAAGTTCTTCCCTTAAAAAAATAGATAACAATGGGGGCCGGCCTGGTGGCGTAGCGGTTAAGTGCGCACGCTCTGCTTCGGGGCCCCGGGGTTTGCAGGTTTGGATCCTGGGCGTGGACCTATGCACCGTTTGTCAAGCCAGGCTGTGGCGGCGTCCCATAAAAAGTAGAGGAAGATGGGAACGGATGTTAGCCCAGGGCCAATCTTCCTCAGCAAAAAGAGGCGGATTGGCAAGGGATGTTAGTTCAGGGCTAATCTTCCTCACACACACACATATTAGATAACAATGAACAACGTTTAAAATATTAAAGAAAACCATGTGCATGTTGCATTACTTCAGTCACTTTAACTCGTCTACGCCCATTTTTGGGGGGCCTCTAACCAGCTCTAAGGGTATGACTTTTCCTTCAGTGTGTGTCAGTGGTGGCGTGAAAACTGTGAGGACGATTTTTAAAAAACATGCCCCACTGGGCAAAAATGCCATCAGAAACTAAAAATACAATAGAGATATAACGAAACTGTTATACCTGGGTTTTCTGAGCAAACAACAGACAAATATGTCAAGGAGGAAACAGGAAATTTTTATTGGAAACAGCTTTAGTGGTTAGTCGCATTAGATGAATGGGGTCCAGGAGACCCTTTTGTGTGTGGCTGGGAACCATTAGGCCATATTTGCACATTTCCTGGCATGAGGGGATGACCCCATCTTCCCCTTACCCCTCAACAATAAGGTAAACAGAAATTCCCCAACCCTGTCATCATTCTGTTGAACCTGCTGATCTTAGCCAGTTGAGCAACAGTAACTGGTGGAGGCAGGATGTCATCACTTCCATCTTCTGTTCCTCCACCTTCACAGTGGGAACTCTCAGGCTCCTTTATCAACATGCTGCCACAATCAGGATTCAAGGCAAATGCTACACGGAATTTCTCTCCTAAATCAAATTCTAAGGAATTGGAGGAATGTCAGAAAATTCAAGCACTTTCCAGATTCCTTGGATTCCCCCAAATCTGACAGACTTGTGAGCAAAGATCCATGGCAACACTGATGCTTTTATGGCCACAGAGAAGCACATTAGCTGTGTAAAGGCAGGCGTGCTTTCTGATCCAAACCCAGATTCATTCCCGTCCCTGCTCACACAGATTCCTTCCAATGGAAGGAAGACTCTGCTTCTCGACTCTCCTGCCTCCGTCAAGGCGGCCAATTTTACAGGACTGTCATGCAGCTGGGCACCTACAGCCCATCTTTACCTGGCGAGTGGGTTTCACAGGGCGGGGCCCTTGGAGCAGCAACCCATGGCCTCCAACACTTGGAGCAAGGGGAGGAGATCTCAGCAGCTCTCAGCCCTGGATGCAGGTAGCATCACTTTGGGGAGCTTTCTAAAACCACCCGCCACCCCCAGGTATTCTGATTTTCTCAGTCTAAGCACAGCCCAGATAGCATATTTTTTAAAAAGCTCCCTGAGTAAATTTAAGAGCAGCCAGGATTGAGAACCACTGAGCCAGATCACGTGTCTTCTGTTTCTTCGTATTCCTGTGCCCCGGACTCTTTCTCTGCTGGGTTATGCTAACGGCCTCCTGACTGAACTCTCTGATAAGCCTTGCTCCTCCCTGCCCCCAACAAATCTCTCCTAGTCCAAAGGGTCCCTGAGCCCCTAGGTTCGTTTTTATGAAACACATAATTCACTATGTCTCTCCCCTGCTTATAATTCT